CTAAAAAGTATGGTTGTACATGCGGATCAAATCGAGCTGCGCCACAAAGTGTAAATATTGTACTCCAACATATGGAGGATTTGTTTGCGGATTTTGCCTATCAAATTATATGCTATATCCTGATAATTTTATTATTTTGAAGTAGAAATCATAAATATTAAAGGTTTGGAAACTATTCATAAGTTATAACAGTTGATCGATTCACGCGATCAAAATTAATTAAATCGGCTTTTTTCTCAATTTAGCAACGAAAACGATTGCTTTGTTTGGTATGTGTCGGTATAGTGACCGCCCCAATGCCTAAATTTTTAAAAAATCGGTATGTTACGGGTCGCGTGTTCATGGAACGTCTCAATTTGTTATGTGGCATGACGATTTGAATCTTTCAACCGAACACGATTCATTATTATTAAAATATTTTCAAGCAAAATCCAAAAATTTGGTGCGTTCTCAATGCCCCAACCCCTTCAATTTTATTTTTAAATCTACTACGATAAAGCTTTCGTCCGTAATGGATTTAGCCATATACGCCGAAAAACAACGACAATACATATAATAATTTCATTCTAAGACATAAAAAGAAACATATAATTTCATATTTTCAATTATTTCAATTGCTATTTTTATTTATTTACGTCAATGATTCGGATCAAGTCGTATTAATCTACTAAATGAATATTCCGGTTGTTTTACCGGTGTATTGTGTTAAAGAACTTTGAACACACAAAATGGTCTCTGTCTAATTTGTTTTCTTGACGAAAGTTACAATAACAATAGTTTACGTCACGAAACTCTTAAGTTATAGTAACACTAAAACTACTTATCTTAATTAAATTTATTTCACACCTTCGTCAAAAATCAAACTTATTTTGCTGTATGATTTTTTTTTTTTTTTTAAAAGGTAATTATAGGAGTGATGTCATGTTAATAATAATTCACCCGAAAAATATCTGTCCTCAATCAAGCATCTTCTGCCGACGTGGCACAAGTCAAGAAGTTCAGTGGGCCCACATGACCGACATCCACGAATTAAGCCAATCAATACCGACCATTCAGTTTCATGTATGGGCCCTTAAACGCTCTTCTGACACGTGTCTAATATGTATTGGCTAAATCTACATTTCCACAGTATTTTATTTTTCTTCTTCTTCGTTCTATTGGTTCCCAATTTCCCATTAGTCTTCTTTTTTACTGAGCGTCAGTTTTTTCTTCTTCTATAAGTTGTCATTTATTGCCACCCGTCGTGATGATTATGGCTCGTAAACCTGTTAATACTCGGTTATATTCACACCTTATTCAGTTATTTGTTAAAAGATCAATATTTAGAAGGTATTACAATTTAACCCTACTATTTATATTCCACACCAAAAAGATAACCTGAAAAAGTCTTCCTAAGAATCTGCTTAACATCGGAAACATGCATTAACTTCATACTCCTAAAATTCAAC